TCAGGGAAATATATTTGGCTGGTAAAAATCAGTGTAGGGGTGCTAACTTGAGTGCTTTCTATCTTCTATGAGGTTTTTCTTTAGAATACTGAATATTTGTTCTCTTCCCTCAACTATATAACATACATAACCACACATACCAGTCCTACAGTTACGTCAGCATTAGAAAGTCTTGATCCTGTACATCCTATGTATTAAATAGTTACAGATTTCCTCATGATGGAAAACAAATATCTCTGGCCAGGAAACCTATTTGTAACAAGCACTTTAGAGCATTTTTTTTTTTTTTTTTAGTTTAATGGCCACTGCTGAAGGAGAAAATTTAGTCTTCCTTTTCCTTCCAGACATACCTACGTCTCCCATGGGTAGTAAATAGATATTGATTTTCTTCATAACAGAAATACATTATTACAGTGATTAAACTGTAGACCCTCCTTTATGATGTATAAAAAAAAAATTGGAAATTGGTGAGCTAAAGAGGATTTATGTTGCAAAATTGTTTGGGGTTTTGTATTCATCAAACTGTAATTCAAGCTCTAAATGCAAAGCCTCTGTGTATATTGCCCTTTTTATGCGGCAGCAATTGGCATATAAAATAAATGCTGATATTATAATTATCAAAGCATTATATCTGTTAGAGCTGTTAATAGTCACATTACTTCATTTTTTAATTTCACATTTGTCAAAATCCTGACAAGCCTACTCTGGGATAATGTTAGATTCAATATTGAGATTGTTACTCAACAAGAACATTGATTATGTCTTAATAGGACATATTCAGTATGCTTTATAAGCGATTATCATCTTAAATGAACACAAGCATTTATTTAGCATGCACTGAAAATATTTAAATCCTAAGAATTTTTCTTTCTGGTTGGCATTATATTATAAAGTCATTAGTACCAAATATGATATGGCAGCACACCACTGATACAGTATTATGCATGAATACATAATTTATAAACAGAATTATAAATAGAAGTGTTGAGGCATTTTTTGCATCACTACAGAAATACTAATATCCACAAAATAGTAAGAAAACTCTCAATTGATAATTAGTATTAAGATAGGTCTGAAAGGATACCTGAAACCCTTGTAAGGATTTTGAATGTTCTGTACGTTATTTGCTTCCCAAACATTGTTTTGATCTCAGCAACTGAGCACTTCCTGTGAATTTGGGAATTTCTGTTCTCCCCAAGTTTTTTTGGGGGGAAGACTGAGCACTAAATGAAGGCTGGGGTGCTGTGATACTGAGTGTGGCTCTTTGGGATGTGCAATTCCTGAGTGTCTCACAGTGACAGGAGAGCACTGGAGGAAAACCCTGGTTTAGATGCCTTGTGAGGACACCCAGCCAGGAGGAAACACTGGAGAGATGGGTTCTGCAGTCCTGCTGCTGACAGAGTCCTGGGTGCTTGTAATCATCCAAGTAGTTCCACTGGTTTCCATCTTGCATTTTGAGTCCCACTGTACTGATGATGACTTGAATTCCAGGGGAATTTAAGCATGGATGTCCTACAGCCTCCAAGGGATAACCAGAGCCAAGACTTGGACTGCTACTGCTGGTGGTGCGAAATACGAGACAGGGCTTGATTCTCTTCAATCACTGGTAGTTTTTTATTGTATCTGTAGCAAATACCAAAGATTCAAACTCAGCAGAAAAACCATCATCGTCTGCTTTCGTTCAGCATTACCTGAAAGAACAGCCTGGGTTTGTTCCACCTGTGCTTGTCTGCACTGAACTGTTGATTTCCCTCTCTTGGGATTAGGTCCTGCTGGCTTTGGCAGGAAGCTGAACCCTGAAAAGGTGCCTTTTCTGGCCTCTCCCTGTTTTCTGGTGCTGAACCAGTTATGTCAGGCCAGCAGGGGAGGGAGATCTGGTCGGAATGTTAACACTGGTGGGAATGGCAGTGGGTGGACCTTTGAAGAGAAGCACTGAGGACACAGCTCAGCTCCTTGGCAGACCACACAACTTGGCAGTGTCGCCCCTGCCATGGCTAAATGACAGGAGTGAAAATTTAAGGGGAGAGGAATGGTTCTCGTGCTGTAATCACACAAACCCTCCCAACAGCGTTGCACTCCACAAAGTCACAGCTGATGAATAATAAGCCACACAAACAGTGACTTGATATTCATTAATTAAAACAATCTATTTTCCTTTTTAGCTGTAGATCCCACTTGTTGAGGGTTGGGGCATATTTCCAGTGCCAATATCTCACTACCCAAATGGCATGGGATTGTTTTTGCAGGAGAGTGCTTCAGGGTTCAAGGTGGGACAAGAGTCTGAGCCGCTGGGGGTGGGTCTCAAATGCTGCCAGTTGTGGGTGCTGCATTTATCCCTCCCCTGCAGGGAGAGGAGAGCATGGAGACAGCAGGGATGGAGAAAGTGAGGGAAGTGCCCCCACCCAGGAGCACTCATTCCTCACAGGATGGGAACAAGAACAGGGACAAGACCGTGCTGGGGTAACAGGTCTGAGCCCTGTGAAAAGGGAAAAGATGAGGAGATTCCATGAGAGCTTTTCCTGCAGCCCCAACCCCTTCACAGGGGCATCAACTGAGGGACAGGGTTAGTGGGAGCAAAGGGATCCATGCTCTGTTCACACATCCCAGGATTTGCAAGTACTGTGGTAAATCACACAGACCCAAACAATTGCTACTAATGCCTGAATTAGCTGGGCTAAAAGTACAAGAATTGCTAAAAAGTCCTTTACGTGGTATCTCCTGGTGGGAAGAGGGGATCTGATGGGAACCTGCCTGTGCTGCGAGGTTTGGATCTGGGAGGAGCTGCTTTCTCCAACAAAGCAAAGATTTGGTGACAGACTAGACATAGGAAGTGCTGCAGAGCAGGGAAGTGTAAAAGATTCATAATTATATGAAATACAACTCAAAATTCAATGTTTTCCCCATTTCTTTACAAGCTTAAACATTGGACGCTTGTCACAGACATTTCTGTTGCAGTAGATGCAATTTCTAGAATAAATGGGCTTGCTTTCAGTAGAAAATAGGACCGTTTTCAAAGGAAAAAAAGGCCAATTTGTGAGTAAAAATGGGCCTCTTTCTGAGCAAGGATGTTTATAAACATGAAGTGATAAATAGCTCTGCAAGTTTTCCATACAATAATAACCATTTCCTAATCAATGTAAAAGTTGTAGGTATGGGAGGGCAGAGAAGCTTCATTCAGGTTTTAATACATTGAATGCATTTTAGGAAATAAATATATGAAAACAGTAAATTTTGTTCCACTCCATAATGTGAGTTTGTGTTGGAGGCATGTCAGTAATATTTCTTTGTGTATATTTTTATAACGTTATAAATCAAAATCCTGTTCTTGGTTTGCTGCCTTCTGAGATGAATTTCATGGAATAATGTTGCAAGACTTAAGGAAATATATTTTTTAGGATTCCCTGTGTGGCAGTGGCATCTGATTTTCTAGTAGTCCATATGTCTTTAGAACAAAATATATCTTCTGCCTTGACTTACTGATTTTTACATGCAAATACATTGCTTCATAATGGCTGATCTGATGAGCAGCTGGTGGGGTTGCTTCTCTCATGGCCTAAAAATGCTTCAAAATCTGAGTACTAAGGAGCTGGAATCTCCTTCTTAACACGTGCTCCAAAAAAATGATGGTGTGTGATGTGCCCAGGCAAACATGTCATGCAAAATGCACTGTTTAGGAAATGCTTTCAAACCACTTTGGCTGCAGAGATTGTGTGACCTGAGAGGTTGCTTTGCCAAGCTGTCTCCCTGCTAATTCCCTGGAAAAGGGTCAGATAAAGGACACAGGATGGGTGATGCCAAAGGTGTGCATCCTGGTTCTTGCAGGCAGTTTTCTCAGGGATCTGGTCTGAGCGTGTTGTGTCGCTCTGCCCCGAGGATCCAGACTGATTTTTCGGAGGAGGTTTGGATAAACATTCCTGAGCACGAGGTGTTCTTACCATGCATTTTCAAAGGTGACTGCAGCACTTCCCCATCTGTGCCCTCTGCTGATGATGCAGCACACGTGGCCTTAGGGCAGATGGTTCCATGGAAGGCAGCCACACAAAATCCACTTGAATGAGGTGCCCAGCCCTGTCTGCAGTGAATCCATGTCAGCACTCCCTTCAGCTTCCATGGGAGAAGGTTCTGATGCTGATAATTGCCCCCTTTGATGGAGCTATCCCTGCCCCATGGTCCAGCTTGCAAACAGATGTGCTTTGATGTCTGATGTGAGAGACGAGAATTCCAAATGCTGTCACGTTCCCCTTGCAGAATGGTGACCATGGGTGTTTCTATTTTTTTCCCAAGCTGTGGCTGTTTTGGGAGGATGAAATTAAGGATGGCTTTTGCTATGAACCTGTGCTGTCTGGTTGCACAGCAGGGAGGCTGTGACAGGTACCTGTGACCTCAGAATTAGGTATCTTCCACGTCAGTCATTATTGTTACTCTGTGCACTTGCTTTGGGCAACAACTGCAAGTCCCTGCCCATCTTAGAAACTGCTTTTTTGTTTCTTCCAGTGAAGCAAACTTAGATTACCAGTCTAAATGCTAATACACAGAGTGAATGGGATTTAATAAAGTGAATTTATATGTAGATTGTGACATTAGTATTTAATTACGTACCCATCATAACACTGATGAAGCAAGCTGCTAAATATTGGTGCACCGAAGGTAGAGCTTACTCATAAAGAGCAAGGATATTTTAATTTCTTGCCTCTTTCCTAATCTTCTTAAATAACAGGATAAATTAGGTACTGTTTACCAATATTCACCTTCCTGCTGTATTGCAAATGAGGGCTGCAGAGCAGCAGCTGAAGCTCATGGAAAACTGTGCTTCTGTTTTGGTAAAACACTGGGATAACAGATCTGTTTCTGTACTGTGTTTTATAAGGCCAAATAAAGTCTGAGAATTTTTAAATGTATTATTTTAATATGAATTAAAAATAGTATGTTACCTGTGTGAGGTGGTTGTTGTTGGTGGTGGTGGTTTTTTTTAACCTTTCCTTCTCTGTTGTTTCTTTCAGACTATGGAAAGCCCAAAATACGAGCTGGTTATAGAAGCCAAGGACATGGGGGGCCTTGATGTGGGACTAACTGGCACAGCCACTGCCACTATTCTTATTGACGACAAAAATGACCATCCACCAGAATTTACCAAGAAGGAGGTAAGAGTTTGCCATCTGTGCTCCACAAAATGGTGCAACTCATTGTAATTAACGTGTTTCTAAATATAAAACCGTTCCTTGAGGAAAAAAAATACTTCCAGACGTGTTTTTAGCTCAGTGTGACAGACTTTCCTGGAGCTGCTCTTTTCTGTTTGTTTGTTTGTTTTTGTTTATTTTTTTTTTATGTCAATAAAACCATACACACTGTTTCCAAATCAAAGTGCAAGCACAAGGTAAAAGTTTATGTCCAGGGATGCCATTCAGAGGTTGGCTAGCAGGGTGAAAAAGTGTAAAATAAATTTACTGGTGGTAACTTTCTCCTTTTTCTCCTATAGGGGAAAATAACAAATTCTCTTTCCCTACGTTCCAACTCGGGGCTTCCATGGTCAGGACCATGGATGAAAAAAACACGTTTTTGCCCATCTCCAGCACTTCCCCTGCGAGCCAGCAAGAGCTGGGAGTTCTGTAATTAAAACCCCAGTCCTGAAAGCTTGAAATGTAACCTACAGGTAGAATTTGCACTGAGAGTTGTTTCCCTGCAAATTGAATTTCACTGAAGAATGCTGGAAAGTCTGATAAAACCCCAACCCAAAGGTGTTCCCTGGCTACAGGGGATGTAACAGTGCTAGGGCAGCTCAGGCAAAACATCTGCCAAATTTCATGCCCTGCTCACACTGTTCCCTTCCTTCCCCTGCATTTATTATTAGTCTGATATTTTTTAGTTTTTTTGGGTTTTTTTAAACTTCTGGTACCTGGAGAGAATGAGGAAGTTTCAAAAGTTTTACCTTGTATTTGGATTTTGCCACAGAAGTTTTCTGGGGCTTTCTGCAGATTTTTAAGGGATGTTCCCAAAAGATGAGAAGTAAGCATGAGGGGTGCTGATTTGAAGGCAATTGTGGAAGTAGAAAAGAAAGCCTGTAGAATTCTTGTAGAAGGCTGTAGAAGTCTTGTTTTTTTTTTTCCTTGAGGTTTTTGCCTTTTCAATTATTTTTCTTTTTATCGCTGGCCTAATAGTAGCAAATTGACAACAGGTTATTTTGAAACAAATTACTGCTATTTTACTTGAATGGTTGTTATATATGCAAAGTGAGTACCAGATTAAAGCATGGCAGGGAAGGGTTTTTAAGAGAAAAAGGGAAGAAGAAATTAGAAACAATGACAATTTTGCCAAGAGGGATATTATTTTTCACTACTCAGTGGCAAGAGTTATAATTACTTCAGTCAAATGCTTTGGCAAGAGTGTTTCAGTCACCTAAAAAGTGTTATGGAGAGTCTGATCCAAACCTTTTAAGTACAGAGGTGACAATTAAGTGACTTTGATCAAACAATTAATTCCCTTAGAATTACCCTTTAGGTCAGGTTTTTAATGCTCTGTTTCCTGACAACCAATACTTAAAATATATTTAAAACACTGTTATTTAGCCTTCTGGAACATAACAATGTCCAGGACAAGTCAGAGTATTTAGAAATGGGAATTTATCGGATTAATGAATATTGATGGCAATTCATGAGAGCCAGAGTCCACCTACTTGAATTTCCAAAACTGGAGATTTCTTCTCTTGAAGAAATCTTTCTATACATCTTTCACTAGAATTCTTTTCAAGCAATCTTTCTATAATTTTATGTCCTGTTTGACTTAATAGATTGGTAATTTGGGCAAGCACGTTGAAAACCATGTCTGATTAGGCACAAATGTACTGTGTTAGTTTCTATTTCTGTAGAAATGAATGTTTATAAATGAAATGTTTATAAATTCAGTTCAGTCCGTGGCAGTAAAAGGTACTCTGTACCCTTGAAAGGTTGGGGGGTTTAGCACAGAAAAAAAACAAGTGTGAGGAGGCAGCATTATTTAGTTTTCTTTCTGGTCTTAGACATTTTTCTTGCAGTTTATACTTTCCATAGAGACACACACACACAGAGACAAATATATATATATTATGGTTTGGCATGGGTTTGAACCTTTCACTGTTTAGAGATGTTAACGACCTCAGAAATCATCCCTCTGCCTTGCTAAGTGATTTTCTTATTCCATGAATAAGGCAGGAAAAATCATTTTTTAAGATATATCATGCCAGGTCCTTTTAGAAACAGATGCTCTATTTAAAAGAAATAGTGTAAGAGGTGTCTATTAATTGAGCCAGTAACACTTTATTTGGTTTATTGCCTTGAGTACTTACTTATTGTATTTTAATACCAGTTGTATACCACAGGCTGCAATACTATTGATTTGGATTAGAGTTGAAAGGAAAAGTCATATTCTCCGAGATAACTTCTGAAGTAGAAAGCTCAACTTGAGTAAACCTGAAGGTTTGATTTCAGAGTGCATTTTCTATTATTTGTTTTGAGATTGGCTGCTTTAGGCCTGGGTTCTTATGGTATAGGCGTGTT